CACACGCGAACGCTTGCGAACGCTTTGCGGACGCTTCGCGAACGCTTTAGCGACGATCCCTGGTCAACGATTGGACCCCTGGACCCCAACCTTTGAAACGAGAACCCTTCTGCTGCGCATTCGGGAAAAAACCATTGCAAACAGCGCTCACGACTTGATTCATTTCATGCGGCTACATGTCATTGCAGCTGAGCTTCTGTGGGTACCAACATGCTTAGCACTCGGTACCCCAGGCACTTTCAGGCCTGATGATAAAAGCTGTGACAAAACCTGCATGACCCAAGGCATTTGTTCTTCGTAGCTTTGCCTAGAACCGCGGCGCAGCGATCACAAAAGTCCTGTGCCCTCCAGCATACTCTGGCCTTAGCCTGTTACGATGCTCCAGCACAGATAGTCAACCCTAGAACTAATTTTCCTCACATATACTGCCTTTGTTGTATCTATTGTAGGAAACCCTGGACCTAAACTCCGCACCCCCTAACCCTAAACCCTGAGCCCAAAATCACCACCTTCTCCATTTTTCTGAAACCACCGCAAAGAGGTTTGGCCCGCTGTAAAGCCCGGTGACCTGGCGGCCAAGTTCGACAAGGACCCCTGGATTTTAGGGTTTGGGTTTAAGGTCTAGTGGCCTCTTCAGGCTTCAGTACGGTGGCTCATAGATTCATAGAGACTTTAGAGTTAGAGGGTTTTATAGGGCCTGTTAGGGTTGGTTTGATGGCAGAGTTGTGATGTAGGGGCTCTTCCCAAGGGCTCCCTTTGTGGGAAAAGGGGTGGCGTAAATAGGGTTCAGGGTCTCCGGCCCTTTGTGCCGCGAAGTGGGCTTCCTGGGGTCTTTCGAGGGCTTCGGATTTCATAGCAATTTAATCTCGTCTGCAGGGTTTAGGGGCTTAAACGCGTGTGTGCCAAAGGGGCGTGCGTAAGGACTCTGGGGAATTCAGGGATCTGCTGGGTGAAGTTGGTTGGGGACTTGATATATGTGCATAGATGCACCTACTTGTGTACATACATCTCCCTATAGATACATACCCACCCACCCAGCTACCCAGCTACCTACATGGATCTAGGTACCTACCTACCCACATACATACATGCATGTGAGATTTTCCGGTGTTAAGTGTTGAGGCTGTAAGATTTCGAGGTCCGTTGCAAGTCGCAGGGGCTCCCAGCATTGCGAGGTCGTCGCTACGCCGAGCCCTTCCTGAGATATCCCAAGCCGCCAGCAGACGAAACCGAAGGATCCGCCGGATGGCCCAACGGACTACGGCCAGATTTTGCAGAAGCTGGAGACGAAGGTGAGGGGGGTGTGGGTGCTTTTACGATTGACGGGGTGACTGAAGAGCGGAAGCCGGAAGCCAGAATTCCAGAATTCAAGCAGTGCCCGAGGTCGGTGTCAGCGTTAAGTAAGCTGGGGTGGAGGAGATGATCATCAGCAGGAAGGGTAGGAGCATGGCACGAGGTAAACAGGATGAGGACGAGGGTGAACATGAGGATCCGCAGCAGCTTCCTCATGACATGGTCTCCGACAGGTGCTCCTAAGTAGCCAAGCCCCAAGATTAACGGACATCCGAGGCCAAGCTGAAGGCCTTAACCATCTAAAAGGAGCACCTCACATGTATCTCTATCAACAAGAGCATCAAGATCCTGGTTGCTTTCCAGGCTAAGCCATTTAAAACCTCAGCTGTGGCTCTTGCTGGCTCCACCATGTCACCTGGAAACCGACCGATGTATCATCCCCGCAATAAGGCTCAAACCAAAACCCTTAAAACAGCCCATGGAGAATCTGCGAAGTATGGTTCAATCACAGGGTTTCCTGAACCCTGAACGAAGTTCCGGAATGGTGAGCCCAAGTCCCAAGTCAGAAAAGGCACTAGCATATAATCTTCTACTCAGCTCATGATAAGGAACCCCCAAGATAGTATTGCATGTAACTATAAGTAAGGCTTCTATATTAGATCCCTGAGGTGTTCCCGGGTGCTCTGAGCCACTCCCTTGGAACGCTGCCGAGGGGCTTGTTCTTGCTGATGCTTCTTGTTGTTTGCTTGTCACTGTGGGCATGAGGGCTGTTGCGAAGGCCGTGCCAGTATTGCAGATGTGTGCAAATGCCGTTGTTGTCTGCGCACGCGATGAGAGACGACATCTCAGAGTTCAGCGTCCTGAGACAAAGTTTCAGAAGCAGGCATCTATGGGTGAAGAGCCTCTTGAAGATCCGTGCAAACGAAAAGAGTGTATCCCTAGGGCCTTCATAGGGTTTCTGGGTTTATTAGTGAGGACATGTCAAGGAACGTCTACGAGAAACCAAAGAAAAAGGTTGGCCTTGACGGGCTCAGGTTGGCAGCACCCGCGCTTCATGGCCTACTATCCCTCCAGCTCCTCTGTGCCGGTGGGCTTTGTCCGTCTTTTGCATTTGCATAAAGTAGAGTTATAATTATATACTTGTATACATTAGCGGGAAGAGGTTGCAATAGCAATACTTACAGTCACATTCTTTGGTTAACCATCGCTTAGAAGAGTCAGGTTGGTTCTGAGGGTCCGAGGGTTCCGCTGAACTTTCCATGCGACTTCTGCGTTGCAGACTCTGAGCAGAAACGGCCGGTTCTTGTGTTGTGGTTAGGGTTTAGGGTTTAGGGTTTAGGGTTTTGGTTTAGAGTTTAGGGTTTAGGGTTTAGGGTTTAGGGTTCAGCGAGCCCTGTCGCATCGTTAGAAGCTAGACCCTAAGCCCTACGTGCACCCCTAAACTCCTAGACCCTAGGCCCTAAAAGAAATCCATCCAAGCCCATCCTTAGGGCTTCCCGCACTAGGACTTCAGAGTTCCCCACCCCAACATCTGGCATTGAATCCGGAGTAGACCCTGGCATCGTGCTACAAGCTGCCCGAATCCCAGAACCATGACTAAAAAAAAGAGAGTGCAACGCCCTGGTGGCGTGAAGTTCTCGGGAATTTAGGAGTTTTCACTCGAGTTTTTACACTTAGATTTTCAGAAAACAAC